AAAGAGAGAGAGAGAGAGAGCAGTAATTCTAGGATAATAATTCATGGTGTTACAAAGTGTTACTAAACCCAGGACCCTGCATTCACTATATCTGGTCTCCCCGGACCCTGCACTCACTATATCTGGTCTCCCCGGACCCTGCATTCACTATATCTGGTCTCCCAGGACCCTGCATTCACTATATCTGTTCTCCCCAGACCCTGCATTCACTATATCTGGTCTCCCTGGACCCTGCATTCACTATATCTGGTCTCCCAGGACCCTGCATTCACTATATCCGGTCTCCCCGGACCCTGCACTCCCTATATCTGGTCTCCCAGGACCCTGCATTCACTATATCCGGTCTCCCCAGACCCTGCACTCCCTATATCCGGTCTCCCCGGACCCTGCAGTCACTATATCCGGTCTCCCTGGACCTTGCATTCACTATATCTGGTCTCCCCGGACCCTGCATTCACTATTTCCGGACTCCCCGGACCCTGCACTCACTATATCCGGACTCCCCGGACCCTGCACTCCCTATATCTGGTCTCCCTGGACCCTGCATTCATTATATCTGGTCTCCCCGGACCCTGCATTCACTATATCTGCTGGTCCCCTCGGATCCTGCATTCACTATATCTGGTCTCCCTGGTCCCTGCATTCACTATATCTGGTCTCCCACAGTACACACAACATGGAAATGCAATTATTTTAGTAAATATAAACTGCTAAATAAATTTTCTCATCAGCAGTTAGAGCAGTCTTGTGAATTCTATCAGTGTCCAGGTGAGCATTGGTTACAGCTTGTAGGAGGAGTTTTCTTTTTGCTCTAGGAGGATGCAAAACCCCTGACCTCTGTCTGGACAGTGCTGATTGGCCCTGTGCTGATCACATGGACCCTCCCAAGAAAAAAAAAAATAATCTCTCTAGCAATACACACCAAACTGAGCATGTGCAGAGAGTCTCCACACCATATGTCTTATCAGGAGATAAGAGGGGGACACTAGAAGAAGGGGAGGATTAGAGAAGACAGGATCAAACAGCCTTTTTATACAATGTAGCAGATTAACCACTTAGATTCCATGGTGAGTATAACAAGCATGCTTTACTGCATATACAGACTGATTTTACTGTTGTGGGTTTAGTAACACTTTAAGCCCTCATGTACACTTGACGTTTTTACAGCGGCTGTTTTTGGCTTTTGACATTTTTTTTCTACAGCTAGTAAACCCCCCAGCATGTTATCCTATGTGTCCATGCACACAGACTATAATCAACATTTTGTGGCTGGAAAAAAAAACCCCAAAACGTGGTAAAACGCAGCAAACCAGCATTTTTGGACTTTTTTTCCCCAAACAAAAAGCTAAAAAACACCGCTAATCGCGGAAAAACGCTGCTAAATGCTAATGCAAAAACGTTAAAAAAGCTGAAAAACTCATGTTTTTAACATGACTTTACACAGCTAACGTTACCAGTGTTATCAAAATGTCAAGTATGCATGAGGGCTAAAGCCTCGCCTATTGAAGTTTTTAGGTAGCATATTTTTTCCATTTCGCAGGCATTCGCAATTTTGAGTCCTGACATGTTTGGTATCTGTTTACTCGGCGGAACCTCACCTGTTTTTTTTACTGTACAAAAAATGTGTATTATGTTACGTTTACAAAAAGTAATTGCAGCTCAGCATACATTTCGGTACTGCCTGTGTGCCGGGATGAGTGACTCCCGTGTTGCATGTGCAGAAGTCATCTCATGCCAATCAAGAGGCCAAAAATCCAGCACTTGGAAGAAGCCCGGGGCAAAAAAAGGGCAGCGAGGGATCCAATAGTTTAATCGCCGGAACAGAGTCATGTCATCTTCGCCGAAAATCAAAAGGCCAAAAAACCTGGCACCAAGGAAAAGTCTGGGGAGAAGATGTAAGTTAACAGCGAGGGAATCCAACGGACACATTGCTGAAATGGAGAGGAGTATTCTTTGGACTTTAGTTCCACTTTAAGGTGTATGTGTTGCTGGCAGATCAGATGATTTTTGCTCCAAACAGGTAGCAATTTCCAGAATGCTGGGTATTTTCCTCAATGTCATCCTAAACACTTGTTTTTAGTTGTATTCATAAATGTAGTATTTCATTCCCACTAACATGCAGAGCACAGGCCTAGCCTTCTGTGTACTCCGGCACAGCCCACACCATGTTCTTCCCCTCCAATGCCCAGCAGCGCAAGTATACGGTAGAAACATGGAAATGAGGCAGATTTCAGGGATAGATTGTCCCGTACTGCTTTTTGGACTGAATAACTCAATGGACAGCCAGTGACATCAGAACAGCAGAAACAGAATGAAGTTAAAGTGTTACTAAACCCACAACAGTAAAATCAGTCTGTATATGCAGTAAAGCATGCTTGTTATACTCACTGTGGAACTAACTGTGGTTAATCCTCTGCATTGTGTAAAAAGGATGTTTGATCCGGTCTTCTCTGATCCTCCCCTTCTACTGTCCCCAATCCATCTGCTGATAGAACAGAGCATTGGGGGCAAGCCTGCACATGCTCAGTTTGGTGTGTATTGCTAGAGAGTTTATTTCTTTCTTGGGAGAGTGCATGTGATCAGCACAGGGCCAATCAGCACTGTCCAGGCAGAGGGTGAGGCATCCTGCAGCCTCATAGGGGAGAATGAAAACTCCTCCTACAAGCTTTAACCAGTGCTCTGCTGGACACTGATAGAAGTCACAAGACTGCTCTAACTGCTGATGAGAAAATGTATTTAGCAGTTTATATTTACTAAAATAATTGCATTTCTTTGTTCTGTGTACTGTGGGAGACCAGATATAGTGAATGCAGGGTCCTGGGTTTAGTAACACTTTAAATCTTGTCATATGAATACATGGAGCTGAAAGTTTACCGTCCCTCTCAGGCACTTATCGGGCATGAAGACAGACCAGATGTGCCTGGGTACATAAGAAACTAAAATTAAGAAATTCACTGGTTCTCTTTAATTTGATGTTAAAAGGTGACATCAAGGCAGGTAAATAACGCACTTAGGTATTAATTATTAAATCATTAAATATACTTTCTTTTTATACAACTAGTGCAAGTCCCTGAAACTGACTTGGCATTGCCCTTTTGGAATCCATTATACAGCAGAAGAGAAGAAGAGTCAGGGCTTGGCGACAATTAGGTATGCTGCATGAAAATACATTGACAAGGAGAAGAGAGCAGAGTGAGTAGATGGATGATCTCATCATTCTGCTGCTCTTTCACTGTCCAGTTTGAATGCTGGAGATAGAGAGGGGACACTGCAGTATTCTTAAACACCTGACTGTGATGTGTAAATCTCAGAACTGGATGTTCATAAATACAAATTCTTTGACAGGTAAAACTCTCCCTTATACATATTTCATCTGTATTTTTAATTGTCTGGAGTCCAGTTTTAAAGGGTAGGTTCACTTTTTTCATAATAACTGAAAAGGTGAACTAGCTCCAATTATCCTAAGCACCCCTCTGGATCCTGCTTCACATAGTGGCCGTGGTGCCCCGTGCTGCCAGTGTAGCGGTCTGCACATCATAATACACAAACCTAGAGTGACTCTCTATCATAATGCTTGCAAATGCAAGCACTCATTGATCATCACAGCGACGTGACTGTGTTGATGAAAAAAAAGCGCATCTGTAATGCCTGTGAAATGTGTTGGCCTTGGACCCTTTGCTTCTTAGGAAATATTTACAATAAAGCATTGTTGCCCAAATGCCAGGGGCATGAGAGGTGACTGATGTATCATTTCTCTAGGCCAAAGGAACAAAGTCACAAGATACTCTGCTGAGAACAAGACAAAAACTTGTTTATGGAAAGAAACGTGTTTATGACATCTAGTAACCTCACATTAGGAGATAAAAACCTGTTTAAAGATGTCTAAATTAGAAATCCTTAAGTCTGGGGAGATGAAAAGAGGTTTTGGGGTAGATAAGAAGCAAAAGTGTGACTTTTCAGATAACGAATATGGTGGTTAAACGTGACTCTGTTATCCTTGGGGAACCCTTCTGATAGCTCCTCCTGTGGTGGGGGTGCTGCCACCCACTATTGGACAGCTTCCAGAAAAGGCGGAGGTCCGGGCAAGACCAGTAGAAGCCCCCCTCCCCTTAGTGGCTAGAGGACGCTCTGACGCTGGGATTTTTGCCAAGGCTATATGGGCTCATCGACTGGTCGCGCCTACGGCTTCTCTGTGACCCCTGGGGTAGTTTGGTTCTGGTGGGATTTGTTCCTTCCTGCTTCTAACATAGCTTTGGTAATGTATTAATTCTATGCTGTGACGCTGTCAAATGATGTGTCTACTTCATGCTGTAATGCTCCCATTATTACTGGTGTGTGTTATTATGCAGATTGTGATGACTATAAGATATATCCTCCTGTGTGTCGTGTGATAATAAAAGTGGAGGTTTTCACAGTGCAAGAATATTGCCGTTGGATTCTGTTATTTCTTGGAGTGCTGGGTGAATGTTATGATGTGCCAGGGCAGGTGTTCATTTGGTAGATGGTCTTTCACATGCGTAGAATATGTAATGGTTTAAATGTTGATTAAAAAAGGTACCTGCATGACTACATGTTGATGGTGTGCGTGTATATGACTTGCTTTTAGTTATTGCACCCAACATTTTTTATTACAGCATCTAAGGCTTCTACTTCTTCTGATAAGGTGTCTCAGAAGAAGCAGCACTTCTTATTGGTCAGTGCAGTCATGCTGACCAATGATTGTTTTCCATTGCGAGCATTATGATGGATACAATTTCCAGGGCTGTGTATTGCAGCGTACAATCCGCACCACCGGCAGCACAGAGCCTCACGGTTGCTATGTGCAGCAGACTCTGGAGGAGTGGCCAGGATATCTGGTGTTAGTTCACCTGTTAATATTTTCATACAAAAAGGTGAACTTACCCTATAACATTTTATAAACAAAAAAGTAAGTATATCCATTATAAACCAGACTCCAGAACACCAGAAACAAATTCTAACATTTCAAGCGATACTTCTCTTCATAATGATAAAGTTCGGGATATTAAATGTTCTGCTAATTCCATAGATAAAATTGTGAACTCCTCATCTGAGAAGAGATACTCTTTAATGATGCCAATAACAGACTCTTCTGTCATATTATTAAAGTCTTCTTGGTTTTTAAATGGTAGGTGCCCTGCCAGTTCACAAAGTGCAACATTAAATGCCGATTCCTCCTTGGAGCCAAAACAGGACTTTCTTGCCCAGATAATCACACGGATCCCCTCTCTTGACTCCGTACACCCTGCATGCCCCGGGTCACAACCTCTGGTTATAAAGATATTATGTGCAATATTTCTATCCACAAAGTAGTCCGTAGCTCTGCATAGTCCCTGAGCTAGAGATGCCAAGTCTGTCCCATCTGTGTAGAAGCAGAAGCCAGGAGCAGGGAAGTCAGCCAGGAGGTAGAAGTTTATATCACGACACAAGGGCTTGCAGGATGCTGATTCTATCAGAAGCTCCTCATCCAGGTAAAACCCATGTAAGTGCAAATGGTTTACTGATGCAAACCCACCCAGGCTGTTAAAGCCAACTCTGAACCCAGGGTGGCTGCTAAGAAGTATGGACTCCATCCCAAACAGTGCTAGATCTGGAATCAGGATTTGATTCAAACAAAGAGATGGTTCTGGAATAAATAAGACATGGCCAAACTCCAGGGGGCTGACATTAATCACAACAAGAGTTCGGCTATGCTGTCCTTTAATCATCATGGAATCTACAGACCTATTCGGTACTACATGATTAATCTGTAGCCTTTCAAATTCAGCAGCCTTTCCTGGAGGTGATCTGACCATTTCAAACAAAATTTCCTCTGAATTAATTTTACTAAAGTTAAATCGGCCAGAATTGAATTTCTCTTTGATACTTCTAATGTCCTGAGGTTTCCTCCGCTCAATACCTCTCTCGATGTTCAGCTGTGCAACATATTTCACTCTCCCAGGCAGGATCCTTGTCTGCAAGCTCCACAGCGGGTAGCGGAAGAGCCCTTGCTCCATTTTGTCGGCCCATTTAATTCTCATGGCTTTATCAAACGCAGAAAGGAAATCTTGATTGTCTGTATATTCTCTTCTTTTCTGCCAAGTGATGCCTGGGATGATAAAATCTGCATCCGAATATTCGTATTCTTCCACGGCTGTTCCATTAAGACCAGAGTTGCCTTTTAGCTCCATGTTTAGAAATCTTCCTCTGTAACCGTGCTTTTAATGTCTATTAATAGAAAAATATATTTTTTTTTAACATCAACGGAGTGTTTTATTGACCAAAACAGACAATACCACATTGGTACAAAAACAACATGATGCAATACAAAAACACAATCCACAGCAGAATGAAATAGAGAAAAAAAATAAATAGACACTGTTCATCCATATATTGTAACACTGAAAAGGAAATAAATTCAAGTAGGATGTCACACATGAGCATTGTACAGAACACACACAACCAAAAGCAATGGCAAATCCCTACAAAGAAAAAAAAAAGAGAAAAAGGGAAAAAGGGAAAAGAGAGGGGGGAAGGGGGATACAGAGGAAGAGGAGAGAAAAGGCACTACCCAGCTAACCATGGAGCCCACACCTTGTCATACTTCCAAGGACAACCCTGATTAATGTATGTAAGTCTATACATGGTAAAGCAGCGTCCACTTGCGCCTCCCAAGCCGATAACTCCGGAGGGGCTGGGAAAGTCCACTTAATCAAGATCTCTTTTTTAGCATAAAACAGAAGGTAAGATATAAGAAGCTTAGCGTGATGGGACCGCCTTTCGTCCTCATGAATGCCCAATAGGGACAACTCTGGCGAGAGAGGTAATGTCAAGTGCAACCTGAGGTTAATTTCAGCAAAAATCTCAGACCAATAGGCCAAAATTATGGGGCATGACCAAAACATATGAAAAAAGGACCCCGGCTTCAAACGATAACAGGGACAGACAGGGTCCCGGGCAGGGTAAATTGCATGAAACCTGAGGGGGTATAATAGACTCTATGAAGTAATTTGACTAGAATCATTTTATCTCTGGAAGAGATGACCAACTTTGGACCCTTTTCCAGACAGTCCTCCCTGTCCAATGTCAGAATATCAATCCGCCAGCGGTCCCACACACGCTCAAGCTTAGGAGATTGAACATGAAGAAGCGCCCCATATAGAGCCGAGAGAGGCTTTGCCAAAACCGGTGAGGACACCAGTTCCTCAACCGTATCAGTCTGGAAGAGGGGAGGAGTCCGGCCAAATTGAGCCCTCGCAGCGTGTCTCAGTTGGAAGTACCTAAAGAACATATGAGGCGGCATTCTAAAAGTAATTGAAAGCAGAGAAAAGGGTAGAAGAGCCCCCTGTGGCATAATATCAGCAAGGTCTTAACCCCATATATCCCCAAATTAGAGGGTCAGGAACGGTACAGAATTGAGGGAGAGAAGGGTTACCCCAGAGTGGTTGAGCCGGAGACCATTGACCAGGCAACACAAAACGATGTCGGGCCACCACCCAAACCCTCCATGTAGTGCGCGTAGGCTCGGTCCCCTATACATGAAATTACGTAGATCCGCCAGGGAGCCCAAGGAAGCAATACAAAAAGATTATTAGTATATCATGTTTTTGATTAGGGAGCAGATTATTGTTAAAGCCTAACTCCACATTTAAAGAATAAGTTCACCTTTTGGAACATGCAACATGTTCCAGCTCTAGACGCCCGGATTCCCCTCTCAGTCTGACAGCGGGCAGAGAATATTCTCTCCACACCCATTGTCACTTTTTGAAAATAGAACAGCCATGCGGGGCTCTGTCCACACAACCTCTTCATTCATAGTTTCCTGTGAATGAAGAACTGCCAGCCACCGCGGCAGATGACTTGTAGTTCTGAATGGACTGTGGGGTTACTGATGACCACTCTTGTAGTTCATTCATAAGCAGCTTACAAACTGACAGCCAATATGGAGGTACAGGCAGAAAGCTGCAGGGATTTTTTTGCAGAAGCCAGACATTGCACCCTGATCCACAGATCAGGGGTGCAATGATAGGCATGGTTCCAGCAGGCAAAAATAATGCATGCACATTTTTTTCTGCAAAAATATATGCATGCATTATTTTTCTGCAAAGGTAAACTTATCTTTTAAGTCAAGGGTCTTCAAACTTTCTAAACAAAGGACACGTTTACAAACTTCATGGGGGCCAGACTATGGCCAATGTCCTGGTGTCAGTGGAAGTAAACAATGCCCCATTTTTGGTATTAAAGGAGGAATAGACCCCCATAGCTGGTGTCAGTGGAATTATGCTCACTGTTGCTGACAGTGGGGGAATTAATGCTCTAAGGGCCAGATAAAAGCAAGCAAAGGGCCACATCCAGCCCCTGGGCTGCAGTTTGGAAACTACTGCTTTAAATAGTTTGTTTGGGTCAAGCTGGCCCAAACAAATGATTTACTGCACTAACAGGTGTGCTTGCTGGGTGACCTGTACTAACTGTATATAATCTCAGCCACATACAGTATATATCCCTGTGTTCTGGCAGTGAGATGAGGACTGCTCATCCTGCTCTCGGATCAAAATAGAGCCAGTCTGAGTGCTGCTCAGCCATTCATGGGAAGCGGTGTATTCTAATGCAGGCCATAGATGGGTCGAAAATCGGCCGATTTTTCGGCCGAAAATAAAATCTGCCGATTTTCGGATCGTTACTGGGTTAGTAGGTCGGCAGTTTTTTGGTATTTTGGCAGATTTTTTTTATCAGTAAAGTTTGAAAAAAATCGGCCGATCTTTTTACCGATAGAAAATCTGCGCATGAGCAGTGACCTGCAAGAGGAAGACAAAAAGAAGAAGAAAAAGAAGAAGAAGTGGATGAAGAAGAAAAAGAAGAAGAGGATGAAGAAGAAGAGGAAGAAGAAGAAGAGGAAGAAGAAGAAGAAGAAGAGGATGAGGAAGAGGAATTCCAGTCTGGCAAAAAGTGTCCCTGCAGAGAGCTCCCCTATTTCTTTCACAGTTCTTTGACATTTATAGCGGCTGCAACAATGTATCTATTTGTTTCCGAATAAAAACATCTGTATCCGAAATGGATACAAATAGATACAATGTTGCAGCCGCTATAAATGTCAAAGAACTGTCAAAGAAATAGCAGAGCTCTCTGCAGAGACACTTTTTGCCGGCTGTAGACGGGATGAAAATCGGCCGATTTTTTTTACCGTTCCTGGTAACTTCGGCCGATTGAACGACCGATTTTTCGTTTTTTTAAAGAAAAATCGGCCGGTTTTCTCCCCATCTATGGCCTGCATAAGAATGTATCCAAGGCTTCCTCTGATTGGCTGAGAAAGAGATTGTGCTGTCATATGCATGTGTCAAAACACATGAAAGCCAGCTGAGAGGCCTTCAGGTACTTTTTTTTTGCAAACTCCAAGCGGGCTTTCATGTGTTCTGCACTGAGGAGAGGCATCTGTCTAGCCACTCTGCCATAAAGCCCAGATCAGTGGTGGGCTGCAGTGATGGCTGTCCTTCTGAACCTTTGCCCCATCTCCACTCAGGATCTATGGAGCTCAGGCTGACCATCGTGTTCTTGGTCACCTCTCTTACTAAGGCCCGTCTCCTGAGATTGCTCCGTTTGGCTAGACGATCAGCTCTTGGAAGAGTCCTGGTTGTGCCAAACTTCTTCCTTTTGAGAATTATGGAGGCCACTTTGCTCTTGGGAACCTTCAATGCAACAGATTTTTTGTGTAGCCTTCCCCAGATCTGTGCCTTGCAATAATCCTGTCTCTGAGCTCTGCAGGCAGTTCCTTTGCCCTCATGGCATTTTCTCTGATACAGTATGCATTGTGCGCTGTGAGGCCTTTTATAGAGATGTGTGCCTTTCTGAATCATGTCCAATCAATTTAATTTACCACAGGTGGACTCCAATAAAGGTGTAGAAACATCTCAGCAATGATCAAGAGAAATAGGAGGCACCTGAGCTAAATGTCAAATGTTGTTACAGAGGGTCTGAACACTTATGCCAATGTGATATTTCAGTTTTTCCTTTTTCATACATATGAAAACATTTTTAAAATTCTGTTTTCACTTTGTCATTATGGAGTACTCAGTGTATAATGAGAAAAAAATGAATTTAAACAACTGTAGTAGCAAGCTACAACATAACAACATTGAAAAGAAGTGAAGGGGGTCTGAATACTTTCTGAATGCACTGTAGATCTCATTTGTCTTACTGACAGGCAGACACATAGCATTTTCAGATGGTACCAGTCTCTACTGTATACTGACATACACTAGTCTTAGTCCGTAGGGTTCAATATTGGGTTGGCCCCGCCCTTTGCAGCTATAACAGCTTCAACTCTTCTGGGAAGGCAGGCCACAAGGTTTAGGAGGGTGTCTATGGGAAGGTTTGACCATTTTTCCAGAAGCACATTTGTGAGGTCAGGTACTGATGTCAGACAAGAAGGCCTGGCTCGCATTCTCTGCTCTAATTCATCCCAAAGGTGTTCTATGGGGTTGAGGTCAGGATTCTGTGTAGGCCAGTCAAGTTCCTCCACCCAAAACTCGCTCATCCATGTCTTTATGGACCTTGCTTTGTGCATTGGTGCACAGTCATGTTGGGACAGGAAGGGGCCATCCCCAAACTGTTCCCACAAAGTTGGGAGCATCAAATTGTCCAAAATGTCTTGGTATGGTGACACCTTAAGAGTTCCCTTCACTGGAACTAGGGGGCCGAGCCCAACCCCTGAAAAACAACCCCACACCATAATCCCCCCTCCACCAAACTTTACACTTGGTACAATGCAGTCAGACAAGTACCCTACTCCTGGCAACTGCCAAACTCAGACATATCCATCAGATTGCCAGACAGAGAAGTGTGATTCATCACTCCAGAGAACACGTCTCCACTGCTCTAGAGTCCAGTGGTGGCGTGCTTTACACCACGGCATCTGGTGCGTTGCATTGCATTTGGTGACATAAGGCTTGGATGCAGCAGCTCAGCCATGGAAACCCATTCCATGAAGCTCTCTACGCATTGTTGTTGTGCTAATCTGAAAGTTTGGAGGTCTTTAGCTATTGACTCTGCAGACAGTTGGTGACTTCTACTCACTGTGCACTTCAGCATGCGCTGACCCCGCTCTGTCATGTTACGTGGCCTACCACTTAGTGGCTGAGTTGCTGTTGTTTCCAGTTGCTTCCACTTTGTTATAATCCCACTAACAGTTCACCGTGGAATATGAACAACATATCAATATACCAGGCCCAACACCAAAATCAACACTCTCCTCGTTCAACCCTGTTACCTCCAAGGAAGTTACCGATCTCCTTTCCAAGGTCCACTTCACCACCTGTCCCCTGGATCCTGTCCCCTCACGACTGTTGCGGACTCCTTCCTGCTCTATCCTAAACTCTCTAACCCACATCTTCAACCTATCACTCTCCATGGGCACCTCTCCCTCCCCACTCAAGCATGCACTGGTTACCCCCATTCTAAAAAAACCCTCGCTGGACCCCACCTGTTTGAATAACTTAAGACCCATCTCCCTGCTCCCGTATGCCTCCAAGCTTCTCGAGCGCCTTGTTCACAACCAAATGAACTGCTACCTCACCGAACACAACCTTCTTGATCCCCGACAGTCTGGCTTCGGCCCACAACATTCCACAGAAACTGCCTTACTAAATGTCACTAATGACCTATTAACTGCTAAAACCAACGGTCATTACTCCATACTCATACTCCTTGACCTTTCCGCTGCCTTTGACACAGTCGACCACCCGCTCCTCCTCAGTAAACTCCACTCCATCGACCTCCGTGACTCTGCTCTCTCCTGGTTCTCCTCTTACCTTTTTCAGCGCACTTTCAGTGTCACATATAAATCCTCCTCCTCCGCTTCCTCTTTCTGTAGGGGTACCCCAAGGTTCTGATCTTGGGCCCCTCCTTTTCTCTCTCTATACCTCCTCCCTGGGCCAACTGATAACCCCCATGGCTTCCAATACTACCTCTATGCTGATGACACCCAGATCTATCTCTCCACTCCCCAGCTCACCCCCTCAATCTCCCGACGTATCACAAAACTACTAAGCAACATATCAGCATGGATGTCACATCACTACCTTAAACTCAATCTTTCAAAAACTGAGCTGTAATATTTCCTCCTCCCCGATCCCCCACTCATGACTTTACCATTAAGATCAACAGCACAACCATTGGTCCTTCTCCTCATGCCAGGGTGCTAGGCGTAATCCTAGACTCTGACCTCTCCTTTGGGCCCCACATCTACTCACTGGCTAAATCCTGCTGCCTCAACCTCCGGGACATTTCCAAAATCCGCCCCTTCCTGACCAATGAGACCACAAAACAACTAATCCACGTATTGGTTATATCCCGCCTCGATTACTGCAACTCCCTCCTCACTGGTCTACCGTTACACAGGCTATCCCCCCTTCAGTCTATTATGAATGCTGCTGCTAGACTCATACACCTTACCAACCGATCAGCGACTGCTGCCCCTCTCTGCCAATCCCTTTAATGGCTTCCACAAACCTAACGTATAAAATTCTAAATACTAACCACAGCTTACAAAGCCATCCGCAACACTAACCTTAGCTACATCACCAACCTCATCCACAGATATCGGCCAAATCGCCCACTCCGCTCCTCCCATGATATCCTCCTCTCTAGCTCCCTCGTCACCTCCTCCCACGCTCGCCTCAGGACTTCTTGAGAGCATCTCCCATCCTCTGGAATTCCCTACCACAGCATGTCCGGTCAGCCCCCACCTTGTCTGCCTTTAGGCGATCATTGAAAACTCACTTCTTCAGGGAAGCCTACCCCACCTCCACCTAAGAACTGTACTTGAATCACCTCCACCAGATCATCCCCCGCAGCTATCACCTTTTGTATCACCTCCCCCTTCCTTTAGATTGTAAGCTCCACGAGCCGGGCCCTCCTATTCCTTCTGTACTGAAATGTATTGTAATTGTACTGTCTCCCTTACATTGTACAGCGCTGTGCAAACTGTTGGTGCTATATAAATCCTGTATAATAATAATATATAAATCCTGTATAATAATAATAATATATAAATATGGTATAATAATATATAAATCCTGTATAATAATAAATAAATCTGGTATAATAATAATATATAAATCCTGTATAATAATAATAATATATAAATATGGTATAATAATAATAATAAATAAATCCTGTATAATAATAATATATAAATCTGGTATAATAATAATAATATATAAATCCTGTATAATAATAATATATAAATCTGGTATAATAATAATAATATATAAATCCTGTATAATAATAATATATAAATCCTGTATAATAATAATAATATATAAATATGGTATAATAATGATAATATATAAATCCTGTATAATAATAATAATATATAAATCCTGTATAATAATAATAATATATATAATCCTGTATAATAATAATATATTAGTAACCAGGAAATGTCACGAATGGACTTATTGCACAGGTGACAACCTATCACGGGACCACACTTGGAGTCACTGAGCTCCTGAGAGCGACCCATTCTTTCACCAATGTCTGTAGAAGCAGTCTGCATGCCTAGGTGATGATTTTGTACACCTGTGTCCATGGAGGTGATTGGAACACCTGAATCCAATGATTTGGAGGGCTAGGACAATACCGATGGCAATATGGTGTAGCTCTGCTGTAATACATCTATGATATTGGAATACATGACATAAATAATAAACCAATACCTGTATCTATAGAGGGAAGTTACCAGTGAGTTGGAGGAATGGGATCACCATTCATACCATCCATCTGCCTACTTCCTCGTAGGAACATACCAACACCGCACATGAGGGGTGTCCGAAGACTATCACTGACCCACTCACAGACGCACACCTTCTTTTCTACAGCGGCACGTCCTCCCTTCTACAACACATACTGCGACTTCTAATAGCAGGCTTTCCTGTGAGAAGTAACACAGAATGTCCCCATGTATCACGGCCTACTAATGCCTCCCCCCCCAGCACTGTGCTGGATGGTTCCTCCCTCCACGTGGCCCGTTTGACTCTTTCTGTAAGCAGGTTCTCCTCCTATCCCCGCCTACTTTTTTCTGTTCTATCATAGAACCAGGGTACTGCCCCGGCCCACCCACACATGCAGTTACTCCTCCTTCAGGGCGTGACCACCCTAGGCATGCAAATACCTTGTTTCCCCTGGAGGCAGTGACGTCAGACGCGGAAGTAGTTGCGGAAAGTTGGTGGAGTCGGGAGAAGTTGGTGTGTGCGGTATGGGGGGCTCGTCCAGCCAGCTGTCCAAGGAGCTGATCAATGAGTACCAGGTACCTGTGTGGGGGAGCTGGGAGGGCATGCTGGGACTTGTAGTGGGCCCTGTATCTCTGGATCCTCCAGGGCTGAAGTTCTTAAAGTGAACCTGTTGTGGTATGACAGGCTCCCGAAAATGCCTCCTGCCTGGCTGTCATACTGACCCAGTGTGTGTCGCCGAGCCAGAAGAAGAAGTGCCAGCAATACTGCTCCTGGCTCCAGGGAAGGGATCAGGATGATGGGCTGCAGTCTCTGAAGTCATGATCCTCCCTGGCTTCTCTCCTTCAAAGTAGAACTCAAGGCAAAACTTTATTTCATGTAGGATGGAGGAAGGGGGAGCGATCGAAACCCTGTCAGGTGTTGTGTGACATCCGTGTCCCCATTGGGGAGATTTCCCTTCACTGCCTGTCCCATAGCCAAAACAGTAAGTGAGAAGAAACCCCTGGTTGGCATCAGAACTAGTGTCCCCATTGTGGAGATTTCCCTTCAATTCCTGGCCCATAGCCAAAACAGTAAGTGAGAAGAAACCCCTGGTTGTCAAAAGAACTAGTGTCCCCATTGGGGAGAGTTCACTTCCTGTCCCAAAGCCAAAACAGGAAGTGGGAAGGAACCCCTGGTTGTCACCAGAACTAGTGTCCCCATTGTGGAGATTTCCCTTCACTGCCTGTCCCATAGCCAAAACAGTAAGTGAGAAGAAACCCCTGGTTGTCACCATAACTAGTGTCCCCATTGGGGAGATTTCCCTTCACTTCCTGTCCTGAAGCCAAAACTGGAAGTGAGAAGAAACCGCTGGTTGTCACCAGAACTAGTGTCCCCATTGGGGAGATTTCCCTTTCTGTACTTGAAGCCAAAACAGTGAAAAGAAACCCCTGGTTGTTACCAGAATTAGTGTCTGCATTGTGGAGATTTCCCTTCACTTCCTGTACTGAAGCCAACACATCAAGTGAGAAGAAACCCCTGATTGTCACCAGAAATAGTGTCCCCATTGGGGAGATTTTCCTTCACTTCCTGTATCAGCCAAAACAGGAAGTGAGAAGAAACCTCTGGTTGTCACCAGAGCTAGTGTCCCCCCAGGAATTTCCCCTCTCTTCCTGTTATGGTGGCAACCCCAAATTTGAGATTTTCTTTCAGCGATAATGGTAAACATAAGAAATGAGAGGGTGAATCTCCCCAGACAGCAATACAAACCTCACAGGGTTTCTCCACTCTATTCAAAAAACGCTGGCCTCCCATTATACATGAACCCTTTTACTGCCAGACCTTTCTTTTTATCTTTGCATTCGTTAACCACTTGCCCTCCTGAAGATTTACACCCCCCCCCCCCCTCCTGACCACAACATTTTTTACCATTTCACTACTTTAACTGACAATTGCGCGGTCATGCATCGCTGCACCCAAACTAAATTTATATCATTTTTTTTCACACAAACAGAGCTTTCTTTGGTGGTATTTGATCATCACTGGGATTTTTTATGCTTGTCACTATAAATGACAAAAGACTGAAAATCTAGGAAACCCCCCTTTCTCCAAACAATATCTTTCACTTTCTGCTATAAAACATATCCAATTAAAAAAAAAATAGAAAATCAAATCATATATTTAGGCCAAAATGTATTCTGCTACATTTTTATTTGTTAAAAAAAATCCCAATTGGTTTGTGTGAGACTTACAGTGTCTACAAACTGTGGGGTATATACTGGAATTTGTATTTTATTTTTTTTTATACTAGTAATGACAGCAATCAGTGACTTTTAGTGGAACTGTGACAGTGCGGTGGGAAACTGACATCACCAGTGACACTAATACAGTGATCAGTGCTAAGAATAGACCCTGTCACTGTACTAATGGCACTGGGCTGGGAAGGGGTTGTCTGGGGCAATCAAAGGGTTAACTGTGTGCCTAACAGGTGTGTATGCGCGCCCTGTCTACTGGTTTTTAGAGAGGTGATGGTTTTTATTACCTGCTTTGCAGAGAGACAAAAAACCATCATCCCCACTGACAATAGAGAGCTTTGTGTTGTTTACCAACACAGATCTGTCTCCAGAGAAAATCCGCCATGAATAATTGGCTGGCACCCACTGACCAGCTCCTGCCTGAGCCAGTGACAGCGCAGCCTGGAAATACAAAATCACATATATATGCAGGATTTTGCGCACAGCGGCTGTCCTGTAACAGTTAAAGTACGGGAGGTGGTCACTGCGTCCTTCTTCCCCTTTTTTATTCCTAGGGACACCGGTCGGATTTTTTTGGTCTGTGTCAACGCGAGACCACGTTGACCAATCAGAACTGTTGTGATGCATCCCAGCACCCCTAGGAATAGAAGAGGACAAGAATGGTGTAGGATGTTTTCATGTTATCTGAAAAGGTGAACAAAACCCCCTTAAAATTCACATCTTAGTCCTGAAGAGTAGTGAAAATCATATATATATATATATATATATATATATATATATATATATATATATAAAATTAATTTTTTTTTTTTTTTTCTGAAAACATTGACCCTAAAGAAAATTATTATTATACAGTGTTTATATAGCGCCAATAGTTTGCTCAGCGCTGTACATTACAATGGGAGACAATACACGAGACAGTACAATAACAATACAATGCAATACATGAGGGGTTCGAGGGCCCTGCTCCTTGGAGTTTACAATCTAGGAGGATTGAAAAGAATAAAATGGTGGTAGTTGCCATTTTTTCCATGTCACATGATATGTTTATCAAATGCTTATTTTTAGTACAAGATATACTAAAGTTAATTTAGGGGCACACAAATGCAATATATTATGCATTTAAACACTCGTGATACAATTCTTGCAGTCACACTGCATTTTGCAACCTATTTTGGGGTGTCATTAATTTTTACCATTGACACTAGTGGCGGATCGCATGAATGGAGTGCGATTTAAATGTGATGTGGGAACCGGTCAGGATTCGCAGCATTTACAGCACCACACATACACTATATTGTCAAAAGTATTGGTCGGCCTGCCTTTACACAGACATGACCTTTAATGGCATCCCAGTCTTAGTCCGTAGGGTTCAATATTGAGTTGGCCCCGCCCTTTGCAGCTATAACAGCTTCAACTCTTCTGGGAAGGCCGTCCACAAGGTTTAGGAGGGTGTCTATGGGAAGGTCTTCCTGAAGCACATTTGTGAGGTCAGGCACTGATGTCGGATGAGAAGGCCTGGCTCGCAGTCTCCACTGTAATTCATCCCAAAGGTGTTCTATGGGGTTGAGGTCAGGACTCTGTGCAGGCCAGTCAAGTTCCACCACCCCAAACTAGCTCATCCATGTCTGTATGGACCTTGCTTTGTGCACTGGTGCGCAGTCATGTTGGAATAGGAAGGGGCCATCCCCAAACTGTTCCCACAAAGTTGGGAGCATGAAATTGACCAAACTGTCTTGGTATGCTGACACCTTAAGAGTTCCTTTCACTGGAAATAAGGGGCCAAGCCCAACCCCTGAAAAACAACTCAACACCATAATCCCCCCTCCATCAAACTTTACACTTGGCACTATGCAGTCAATCAAGTACCATTCTCCTGGCAACTGCCAAACCCAGACACGTCCATCAGATTGCCAGACAGAGAAGCGTGATTGGTCACTCCAGAGAACACATCTCCACTGCTCTAGAGTCCAGTGGCGGCGTGCTTTACACCACTGCATCTGACGCTATGCATTGCACTTGGTGATGTAAGGCTTGGATCCAGCTGCTCGGCCATGGACACCCATTCCATGAAGCTCTCTATGTACTGTTGTTGTGCTAATCTGAAGGCTACTTCAGGTTTGGAGGTCTTTAGCTATTGACTCTGCAGACAGTTGCCGACTTCTGCGCACTGTGCGCTTCAGCATGTGCTGACCCCACTCTGTCATTTTTTTTTGTGGCCTACCACTTGGTGGCTGAGTTGCTGTTGTTCCCAGTTGCTTCCACTTTGTTAGAATCCCACTAACAGTGGACCGTGGAATATATATTAGTAACAAGGGAATGTCACGGATGGACTTGCACAGGTGGCCACCTATCACGGTACCACACTTGGAGCCACTGAGCTCCTGAGAGCGACCCATTCTTTCACAAATGTTTGTAGAAGGAGTCTGCATGCCTAGGGGCTTGATTTTATACACCTGTGGCCATGGAGGTGATTGGAACACCTGAATCCAATGATTTGGAGGGCTGGCCCAATAACTATGGCAATATAGTGTATGTGAACCGGGGCTTAAACTGAAGAGTATAAAAATCTGGTGCAGCTCTGCATAGAAACAGCTTCCAGGTTTTATGTCAAAGCTTAATTGTACAAGTTGAAGTTAGACGATGATTGGCTACCATGCACAACTATACCAGGTTCTGCATGTGCCAGGTTTAGTAAATCTCCCCCATAATGTCACCTCTTTACCCCACTGAAGCTGATCAAGCACAAATCATGCTTGATCAGCTCCTTCCTCAGCCACACAGCAGATGGGAAATTTCAGCACTGAACCCGGGAGTGACAAAACGCTTGTCATTTTCATGTCCATTCACTGGAGAGGAGATCGGCAAATAGATGTTCACTGAACTCTCTGCAGAGACCTGTCATGCCCATCCTGGGCCCGTAGAAGGGGCAGCAGAGCCTGGAATACATGGCAGGGTAGTCGGGTGGGAGCGGGCGATACCTTCAGGGGCAAAGATGGGGTGTGCAAGTGCTTGATGCAGCTTTGCAACCGCCCCAATCAGTTCCACCAGAAAGCTGACATTTGGCATGACAGGAGTGCATTTAAAAGCTATTGCTGACAGGCAGTGCTTTGTAATCGGCATTGGTAGACAAGTGGTTAAATATTATGTAACTAAATATACAGCGTTATTATCAATATGCAAACACTATATAACAATGAAATATATGTGACACGGCTACATATCCCATATAATGCATTTCCTCTATTAGTGGTTTCTAGCACTCAGAGATATAAAAAATTCATTTGCAAAAATCCTTATCCAACAAACACAATGAATCTTCTTTACCAGTGCTTAAGAGCTCATGTACACGGTGTGCTTGGAAAACTCTTCTGAAAGATGGAAACTGACTGCTGGAAAACGTAGGTTAAAAAACATCAGTTTAGCCGCGTTTGCATTTCGCGTTTATGTGCATTTGTGTTCAGAAGCGTTTTTAACAGATAACCTTAGGAGACCTTCCCAAATGCCCAGAATGCACTGAAAAATAGTGAGTAACTATTTCAGACATTTTGAGAGAAATAGAGAGAGCAGAAGCAGAGAGAGCAGTATGTGTTGAGATGACCTGTCTTTTCTGGTTGTATTCACTATGGATCCCATCATGAGCATAATGCAGCACGTTCTACCATTATTTCCTTCACGTGAAAACCTGGAACTGACTGCGCTGGTGTAACGGGTCCATTTGAATACATAGAAAACACTTTGCATGCATTTCTGCTGATGGAAAAAGCATCCGAATATGGAAAAGTTAAACGCTTCTAAACACAAACGCTTATAAAAGCGGTTAACAGCGTTTACAAGCGTTTGGCGTTTGAAACGCTGGTAAAATCTACTTCTGAACGCAAATTTGGTGCATTAAAAACAATGACCGTAAACTCAACTGTCTGTAAACGACGATGTATACATGGACACATAGGAAAACATTAGGGAGAGTTTAGGGGCTGCTGAAAAAACCGCAGAAAAGCTGAATGTCAGTTTAGCAGCTGCACTGTACATGAGCCCTAATGTATTCCACCAAATAATGTCTATGTGCCAGACAAAGAATCTAGTGAAAACTGATAGCTTACACGGGGGGGGGGGGGATTTACTAAACTGGAGCTTTCAGAAACTGGTGCAGCTGTGCATGGTGGCCAATCAGCATCCATCTAACTTCAACTTTACCATTCTTCTACATTATATAAAAGTTGCACCAACATGATCATTTAATCAGCAGATTTTGTTGATTATACTTTGTTGTACATCTGTCCCAAAATAAACAATGCAGAATACATTAGTGTAGACTACAAATGCTAAATGTGAAATGTGCAGAAGCGAGGCATTACCAGAACGAATAAAAAAAAAAAATAAATACTCTGGGACTTCGGGGATTTAGAGAGTAAAAGGCCCGGGGACTCAATTGGTTTAAAAGAAAACGGTTAAAAAGTTTTGTCTGGAGTTCGCAACTGGTAATTGTCAAAAGCACAGTTTATTTTTTGTGTTGCTTTTTCCAGGATTGTTTAATAATGACTTTGATTTGTGTTTGTTTAGGAATTGACGTATCTCACAAAACAGGACATTTTATTGTAAGTATCAAAATGCAATTTCTTCTTTTTTCTGAAATCATGTAAGATCTACAGCTTTAAAATTGGGGAACAAGTCAAGACTTAAAGTGATTCTAAACCTTAATTTTATTTTTTTTTAAATTACAAACATGTTATACATACCTTCTCAGTGTAATAATTTTGTACAGAGCAGCCTTGAACCTCGTCTTCTGGGGTCCCCTGCTGGTGCTCCTGCTTTCTGCCCCTTCTGAGTAACAAACTCCTGACCCCCCCCCCCCCCCCTTCCCCCGGCAAGCTGCTTGCTAAGGGGGTACTTGTGGACCCTTGCTCGAGTCCTGCTGCCTGCATCCATTGATACAGGCAGCAGGCGTTGCCCCGCCCCCTGCTCCGTTGTCATAGGATTTGATTGACAGCAGCAAAAGCCAATGGCTCCCACTGCCATCAGTCTGCCCTTTGAGGAGGGAGAGAATGGACAGAGCCCTTGCTCTCATGCACAGCGTTGGATCAAGATCAGGCTCAGGTAGGTAGGTATAGGGGGGGGGGGACACAGACACAGAAGGTTTTTTTTTTTTTAACTTAATGCAGAGAATGTATTAAGGTATAAAACCTTAAGGAGGTAAATTTACTAAAACTAGAGCACTCAGAATATGGTGCAGCTGTGCATTAGCCAATCGGCTTCTAACTTCAGCTTGTTCAATTAAGCCTTGACAATAAAACCTGGAAGCTGATTGGTTTTAGTAAATAACCCTAAAGGCTTTAGAACCACTTTCAATTAGACTGCATCTCCCTCCCTCCCTCCCTCCCTCCCTCCCTTCAATATAAACGTGATAAGAGCAATAATATATTAATATATCACAAACTATAATTACTGTAGCCTTTGTTCTGCAGTCTCCTTGGTCTGTTAGCTGCAAATGAGAATTCCACGCCTCTATTTATTTTATTTTTTTTTTTGTCTTTGGTTACCCACATTCTTCTTTTTTATTCTGTGCCGGCCCACCAATGATGTTTGTGCTTTATCTCCTGCATGCACCACACTTGACCTTGCTTTGTTATTTGGTACAAACCATTCTAGGTCCTGTACGGCATATGTGTGAGATACAGACATAGACCTGGGACTAAGTGTTATTGTTCAATAGTAAAGCGCATGAGCCATACATGATCCACCGCTTGCCATTGAGCAGTAGTGCCAGGTCGCATACTAGTCATGTGCTGCACGTGACCGGGTGATGTTTGCCATTGAAAATAACAAACTAAGCAGGGCTACATATATACATTTGCAGGATCAGATGGAAAGACCCTGGTGACATAGCCCTCCCTGGGGGGGCACCTGTGAGGCCCTGGCTATGTCACCAGTGCCTACTGCACTTTTCAGAGGCATTTTGACAGGTGGTGAAGAGGCAACATATTGTCTCTTTGCTACTTGTCAAAATGCTGCTGAAAAGTGATTGACCCGTGGACTGCTTTTCAGAGGTGTCACTTGCTCTCCACTTCCTCCATTCACAAAACATTTTGTATTCTTCCACTGAATATAAAATGTCCTGTGAGTGGATGAAAAGAGATCCTGTGGCTTATTTCAGCCTTTAATCAGCAATCTTTGATACCATACTGTGTTAGTATGAAATTGAAGATTGCTCATTGAACATTAAAGCTAGAAGTTCAGCATGACAGCCAGACCATTTGGGAGAGGCACACATTGCAGTGCAGTTTATATCCACTTGAAGGCCCGTTAATGTACATATACGTTACAGGCTTCAAGTGGTTGTACCTGGATGATGCCTTCCAAGTGGATAACTAGCTGTTGGATGGCTTTTACGGGCTGACGCCTGTCAGTTTTTATTTTAGTCTCTGTCCCCATTTTTCTATTTTGTCCTGTTTACTGTTACCATTGAAAGCGAAAGATGAAAATCCCAAATTTTTGGTTGTCCCCAGAAAAATAATAGAGGGGAAATCTTCAAATTGGGGACACTAGTTCTGGGGGTCCCCAAGGAATTATTTTAATTTGCAGGGATTTCCCCCTCACTCCCTCTTTCGCTATGGGAGAGGAAGTGAAGGGAAATTTCCCACATGGGACACAGATGGCAAAAAATAAATGTGACGGGTTATAACTCTCCCTTTTACTTAAAAAAAAAAAAGAAAAAAGCAGGGTGATCTGTGATTTTCAGCAGTGCTGAGTGACCTCCTGCTGTGGTTACTATGCAGAAGAACCACAGCTCAGCACAAGACCTAGAAGACTTGCTGCTGTCATTGTAGTAGCAATAACTACTACAGTGACTGTCAGCTTCCACAGCCATCACTAAGATATGCATACTTGCTTTGTGCCAAGCTGGACCAGTGTAAATATACAATTCAGATCATACTTGCACTTCAGCTTTAATGAAAACTAACCTGCATGATTTTTTTTTTTTTAAATCTATCTGGAGTTCTGCTTTAAAAACATGCTTGAAAACAAGGTTTTATACAAATGGCCTAATAACATGGGTGACCTAGAGCTTAGCATGTTGTTCTCCTTTAATGACTGTATATTATTACATGGTTTCCTCCTTTTGAATTATGAATGGTGTAAATTCATCTAGTGCGAAAATCTAAATTGTCTGCTTTAAAGTAGTTGAAAGGCTTCTAGTTTTTTCCTCCATACATTCTCTGTATTTCTTTAAAAAAACTTTTTCTGTCCAGCTCCTCTCCAGCCCCCCTAAATACTTATCTGAGCCCGATCCAACGCTGTGCCCGAGACCAGAGGTACTGCTTTCTCTCCCTCCAAACTGGACTTACTGAGAGCAGTGGGAGCCATTGGTTCCTACTGCTGTCAATCAAATCCAGTGACAGCCATTGAAATGAATTAACCACTTCAAGTCCGGACACTTTTACCCCCTTCCTGTCCAGGCCAATTTTCCGCTTTCAGTGCTATCACACTTTGAATGACAATTGTACAGTCATGCAACACTGTACCCATATGAATTTTTTAGCATTTTTTTTAGACAGATAAAACTTTATTTTGGTGGTATTTATTCACCACTGGGATTTTTTTTTTGCTATATAAATGAAAAAGTCCAAACATTTTGAAAAAAAGTGTTTTTCTTATAACATTTTTGCAAATAAATAATCTTTCTTTATAAATCTTGGCCAAAATGTATTCGGTTATCTTTTTAGTAAAAAAAAAAAAAAAATAACCCAAATTAGTTTGTAACCAAAAATTATAATTTTTCAAATTTTTTTTTTTTTTTACATTTTTATTTTAGTTTTGTATATTATTTGTTTTTAACATACTGTTACCCTAGCAGTACAGTGTCACCATAGTGACACTGTACTACTTGTGGGGGGGTGATGATTTTTTTTTTTTTACACTGATTGCTTTTACACCCATATAGGATGTAAAAGCAATCATTTCTCTTTCTCTGTGTGCATTCTTGCAGCCATTGAGAAATACTGTGCGAGCTGTGATTGGTCACAGCTTGTCACATGGTACAAGGCTGTTGTGAATAGCCTTGTACCATGTGACCTCTGTGATCATTCACAGATTTCACACGTATTAAGCAATGATGTCAAGAAGTGACATCTTGTTTACTACTATTCATGTGATCACTGATTAGCCAATCAGTGATCACATGATCGGGCCCTCACACAGAGGTCCTGTACAACGATTGGTGTACGGGGTCGCGGTGCTGTGTGCTCCCAGGGAGCACGCACAAGCAGGGAGCGGGTAGGACGTTATGTACATGGTTAACACCCTAGCGCCTGACATGACTAAACACACTACATGCATTTACAAGCTTCAAGTGTGTTTTTCTGCCAAAACACCACTGCCAGAGGGAAAGGCGTCTAGGAGAGTTGGCCAAAAAGCCCAGTGTGTGTGAGGACTTAATTCTTGAGCTGCACTGATTTGTGCATTTTATTTCTGATCACTTTAGCTGTGTACTTTGTGTTGCAATGCATCTTCCTGCTGAGACTTTTAGTGCCACACACACAGAATATACGTTTAATGTAATGTGTTTCATTATTTCCATTTAGGGCTTATAAACGCTTCAGTGAACTTGTGCAGAAAGAACACCGAAACGACATAAATTCGGTACGGGTGCCAAAGGAAACATTTCTGACCCTGCCCGAATTAAAGGTATTTGTGTATTTATTTTTGGCAGGTATGGTCTGTACTGACCACAATGTCCTGACATTTTCCATATAGTTGTCATTCTTGTTACGAAATCATGTATTAAAAAGACATTGGCATTGAATGTGGCTATTTCCCAAATGATCAGCTTGCGGACCGCCCCACATACATTTACTGCTGCAGGGCGACTGCTGTGCAATGGATCAACGATGGAAAAAATAAGCACATGTGTAAAGCTCTTTGCTGTGCGTTTTTATAAATGTGCTTTACAGCTCATCATTTGTAAATTCAGGTGAAACTGTTCCTTTATTCAAGTACATCTAAAGGCATATTAGTTACATATACTTACACAGAATGAATTTATGTCAAGTGATGCTTTTTATTCTTCACAGGCTAACCCCTTTAAGCATCGCATATGCCATGTCTTCTCCACTTCAAAACACGGTGATGACAGCATGTCATTTGAAGATTTCCTTGACATGCTAAGTGCTTTCAGTGAATCTGCTTCCCTTGAGATCAAATCTCATTATGCCTTCCGGATATTTGGTAAGGATGTAAATGATTAGTAGACTGTAAGGTAGGGTCACGGATGTTGCAGTTTTCCTGACTAGTCCCTAGATATCCCCATCGCTAGGTGACGTTTTAGACATGACTTGAGGAGTCACTGAGGTTATGTAGTAGCCATGCCCTGGTAGAGGGGCACTGTGAGAAGGATGTGAGGGATATTTAGCCTGGAAGGAAGATAGACAAGTGGTAAACCTTACTGGGAGAAGTAGTCACCTCTATTCTCTGTGTTTCTGACAAACTGTTAAAGGTTCAGAGCTTTTGTCTGTGTTCTTTAGCCATTGGGGATATTTTCTTCTCATTTCCTGTGTAGTCACCAAGACAGGTAATGACTTCAGAAGGGGCATGAAAAGTAAAAGCATTGCATTATTTCTGAAGTACTTGGGAGAAGGGGGAAGTACTTTTTATAATCCTGTTACATAGTTACTTAGGCTGAAAAAAGACAAAAGTCCATCCAGTTCAACCATAGAGAATGGCATTTTTTGCTGGCTAATCACTAAAAAAAAGAGTGGGAAATTTGAAAGTTTTACTTTTGACTGCTGGTGATTGCTAGTACTTGTACCAAAGTTGTTTTATTGTCTTCTTTGGGGTCTTGCTAAAAGCTTTTACTTTTTTAAATCCCTTTTTCTGTCACTTTTTAAATAGCATTTTTTTTTTTCTTCCTTTCCTTGTCTTCCTTCAGTCTGCTAATTATAACTTAATAACTAAATTATATAACCGACTTCTCCATCAAGATCAACAACACTATCATCAGTTCCTCCCCTCATGCCAGGGTACTAGGTGTAATCCTAGACTCCCATCTGTCCTTTCAGCCCCAGGTCCAATCGTTGACAAACTCATGTAGACTTCACCTCCACAACATCTCCAAAATACGTTCGTTCCTATCCTCGGAAACCACTAAGCAACTCATTCACTCCCTTATTATATCACGCCTTGACTACTGTAACTCCCTCCTCTCTGGCCTACCTCATCGCAGGCTATCCCCTCTTCAGTCTATCATGAATGCTGCTGCCAGACTCATTCACCTTACTAACTGTTCTGTATCTGCCACCCTTCTCTGCCAATCACTCCACTGGCTCCCAATTGCCCAATGGATAAAATTCAAAACACTAACACTGACGTATAAAGCCGTTCATAACACTGCCCCAAATTACATCGCCGACCTTGTCTCTAAATACCACCTCCTGTGCCACTATCCCCTCCCTCCTAGATTGTAAGCTCCAAGGAGCAGGGCCCTCTAATCCCTCTTGTATTGAACTGTATTGTTACTGTACTGTCTCCCTCTATAATGCAAAGCGTTGAGCTAACTGTTGGCGCTATATAAATCCTGTATAATAATAATAATATAAATAAATGTCTTTGTCACCACTGCTGAAAGAGCTTGACTTGCATAGTGATCAGGACAAGAAGTGAGTTGAAATCTCACCAACTGGATCACAGATTGAAATAAAAACCTAATGGGTAATGATCTTTCCTTTCCCCGATCAAAACCAAATAATGCACTTTGGCTGGATTTGGGTTCCAATGAAGATTTTCTCCAAACTGATAATCACTGTAATCAAGTTAAAGAAACTTTATACTCACAAGAAATGCTTTCACGTTGTAACATCAGCATTGTATTACAAAACAAGCAAAGGTTATTTTTGACAATACAATACAATATGAGCTTACTTGAAATATCTCCTTTTTAAAATTAGCTTCTGGTCCTAAATGGGTAGTGCAGAGAAGAAGCAGGATATATTGTATATTTTATACCCATTATGTAGTCCTTTTGTATGTTTTTATGTCATTTAATTACAACCACTGCCTAACCTCTTTATGCAGATTTTGATGGCGATGGTGCATTAAATGAAACTGATTTGGAAACACTGGTGAACCATTTAACCGGAATAGAAGAAAACACCAGACTAAGTAATGAGGAGATGAAGCAGCTTATAGAAAATGTGAGTTCGGATGGGAAAAAAAGAGGTTCTTGTGATATAAGTAATCTCAATGGTCAAGGTGTGACAATTTAATTCCTGGAATGAACTGTAAAAAAAAGTTGCTCTTCAAAAGGTCAGATGAAATTTGAAGACAGTATTCTTTATGAGCTCTTCTGTCAAGACTGGAGGCATCATCTTTGTGGAAATCTTTTTCATTTCCAAGTCCTCTATTAGAATCTACCACACTGCTTTCCATTTCTTGTTCATTTCTTCTGCCATCAATCTTCGATCTGAGTTTACGAGGGTTTGTAATCTGTCCACATTTGCAGCCATCCTTTGCGTTTTTGGCTGCCCACTTCTTGCGTTGTCGTCTACATCTTTCTGCTCCTCAAACTGCCTATACCATTCAAAAACAATTGATTTCTTCATAGGACATTCACCATATGCCTGTTGTAACAGAGCTAAAGTTTCACTCGAATGTTTGCCAATTTTTACACAAAAGTTTGATGTTAATCGTCTGCTCCAGATTCCTGTCACTCATTTTCTGCCAACAGTGCAACACCCACAAGTTTTTTTTTTTTTGTTTTTTTTTTTTTTTTTTTGTTTTTTTCTTTCTTTTTCTACTACTCCATAAAGACTGAATCAACTGGTCCATGACCCAGGCGAGTACAAGTTGAAACATGTCAGAACACACTCCAGTGCAAATGGCTGTGTGACTCCCTACCCTAGTGCTATGCCATGGGCATTCTGGGTGTTAAATTGTCACACCTCGTATGTTACAAAATATACATACAAACAAAATTTGTAAAAAATGTAATTCTATATGTTTATAGAAGAAGGAAATATTTGCTCACTTTTCTATATTCCGGCTCTACTTCTTGCTTGCCAGTGATGTACAATGCTTGTTCTTTATTGCTGTGTCTGATCATGCAAGTCCACCAATCCACTGTATACAATGCACTTGCTGCATGCCTGATCTCTTATCGGTTGTTAAAAGAATCATTGCATTCCAGGAAAGTGGCTTAATACACTTTTGAAATGATTTACCTATCAAAAGGCATGCAGTATGGCAGAGGTTTATGAATCACAAGAATGCTTAAGTGAAATTGGTAATTCTTTTGCAGATAAAGTGTGTGTGTGTGTGTGTGTGTGTGTGTGTGTGTGTGTGTGTGTGTGTGTGTGTGTGTTTTTTCAGATATAGAAGTGTTAATAGTTTATTTTTATCAATTAACATCTATTTTTTTTTTTTTTTTTTTTTTTTTTTTTTTACTCAAAATTAGATGAGTGTAAAAAAAAAAAAAAAAAAAAGTAAATGAATAGAAGAGGATTCCAAATCAAATCAATATTTTGTGTGACCACCCTTTGCCTTCAAAACAGCATCTTCTAGGTACACTTGCACGTGGTTTTTTGAAGGAACACTGCAGGTAGGTTGTTCCAAACATCTTGGAGAACTGACCACAGATCTTCTTTGGCTGTATGGTGCCTCAAATCCTTCTGTCTCTTCATGTTATCCTATATACACATGATGTGGAGATCAGGGCTCTGTGGAGGCCAAACCATGACTTCCAGGACTCCTTGTTCTTCATTATGCTGAAGACAGTTCTTAATGACATTGGCTGCGTGTTTAGGGTCATTGTCCTGCTGCAGAATAAATTTATGCCAGTTCTGTGCTGATGGCATTGCTAGACGTCTTCCGATGTCAAAGGGAAGTAAGCATGATATGTCTTTCTTCTGCTCCATTATGTTTCCTTGGCCGACCACTGCATCTTCAGCCCTCAATGATGCTCTGTCAATGTTCTCCTCAATGCTGAGAAATACAGACAAATACTTTGCCATCATGCCATTCCATCAGGGAGGCTTGTAACCCCAAATTTATTCTGGAGCAAGACAGTGACTCCAGACATCCGGCCAATGTAATTTAGAACTAGAACTTCACCATAAAGAAGAACATGGAGTCCTGGAAGTGATGGTTGTTCTTCACAGAGCTCTGATCTCAACATCATCATGGCATTTGAGTGGGATTTCATGAAGAGACAGAAGGATTTGAGGCAGCCTACATCCACAGAAGATCTGTGGTTAGTTCTCCAAGGTGTTTGGAATGACCTACCTGCCGAGTTTCTTCAAAAACGGTGTGCAAGTGTACCTAGAAGGGTTGATGCTGTTTCGAAGGCAAAGGGTGGTCTTACCAAATATTGATTTTGTTTTGGATTTTTCTTCTGTTCATTTACTTTTTTTTCTCATATTAATTGATAAAATATACTATTAACACTTCTATTCCTGAAAGCCTTGTTACTTTTATAGCATTTTGTTTAATACCTGGCTAAAGTATTTGCACAGTAATTTAATTTTATTGCAAAGTTATCTCAGTGTGATTTGAATTAAAGTGATATTAAAGGTTTAAATTTGCTTTAAAAAATAGCAAACATGTTGTACTTACTTGCTCTGTGGAATGGTTTTTGCACCGGGCAGCCCTGTTCCACTCTTCTTCTTGAGTCCCTCACTGGTGCTCCTTGCTCCTCCCCCTTTGAATACATCAGACCCAGACGGGGGCTTTGCTCCATTCCCTGCTCGCTTCTCACTGGCTGTGATTGACAGCAGTGGGAGCCAATGGCTCCTGTTGCTGTCTCTGAGCCAATGAGGAGGAAGGGACAGGCCAGGACAGAAGCTGCTCTTGTGGACATAGCTGGATCAGGATCAGACTCGGGTAAGTATTGGGGTGGGGTGCAGCGAGGGTTCCAGTGAAGCCTTACAACCACTTTAAAGAACAAAGTGCTGTCTAAGACTAGCTTTGAGGTAGGATAGGGTGACTGTCTCTTCCCCCATGGCTGCCTGACAATGCAGCTAGCATAGAAACGGCTGCTTTCACAAATGGTGCTTTTGGGTGGGGGTGGGGGTCTGTCAGCTAAAATGTTTCAGGCAAGCAGGCAAGTGCTTGAAGACTGAAAAGAGTGTCATCTGTCAAAGCAGTCATCTCCTTGCTAACTGTGAATTCAGACAGTCATTGAAGGGCACTCTGTTTGGTTTTGCAGCTAGCCTTAGACAGTACCTAGAAGGATGGGACAAAGACCTACATGAACGTTGTACCCTTGGGAACAGAACACAACAAGAATTCTGACTTCAAACACAAGCAGTCAAGAAACTTGAAGTTCTTCTATATTGGCATGTAGCCTCCCTTGTACCTTTTTATACTTCTAGCATTTACCTCATCTATGGGTATTCATCTATATATTAATAACGTTTATGGTATTATTTAAAGTCTGGTTATTTAAAGTTTTTTGTTTTTTTTTGTGTAATTGTAAAATTTTATTCTTTACCAGATCCTTGATGAGTCCGATATAGACAAGGATGGCACAATAAACCATTCTGAATTCCAGCATGTCATCTCCAGATCTCCAGACTTTGTCACGTATGTATTTCATATTGAATGGTGATCATAATTCTAAGTGGTCCATAAGTAAGGACACCATAATCCCATATAGATGTTCTAAAATCTAATATTCTAGCTTTACATTCTGGAAGATCAAAGCTACAGATTGTGAAACTTAAAATACAAGTATGGGTTTCTGAGCAAAAATATTTAATTTATACTTGCCTAGGTGGATGCATCATTGATCTGATGTTGCATCTGTCCCCTGCCACTTCTAAGACTGAAAACTTAGTGATCAAAGACCGCTGATCAGGGGTGGACTGACCATTTGGAAACTCGGGCACTGCCTGAGGGCCTGGGGTCAGTAGGGGGCCCCGTGAGATGCCTCTGGTACCTCTTTCATAGGCTTTTTTGAGTTTGGGCAAGGACACAGGGGCCCATGATCCCCTATTGCCCGGGGGCCCCATGAGTTGTCAGTCCACCCTGCCGCTGATCACTCAGTTCTCAGTCTTCAGCGAGCAGAGAGTCGGTGACTGCTCTATGCTCTGCCTGTCCAGCACTGACTGGTGCGCAGGGCTGTGGAGGAGATGGGAGCAGTTGGCTCAGGCTCTTAGTGGCATGCTTGGAGGCTGATTCTGCTTCTAGTCCTGGCATCTGGGTGGATCCCGACTGTAAAGTTGGGGCTCTTTCCTGAACCTGAACTGGCTGAATGACGTCAGCCCACTGTTGGCTAAAAACAGGTCACAGGAGTACAGAACAAACTGCACTCCTGGGACCTACAGGAGGTAGTATAGCCAATAGAGCTTGGGTAAAGGTTCATTTTATGTGGGTGAAAAATTGATGATGTATTGCATTCTACATGGGAAAAGTGGTTTAAATATTTTATATGGATGAATAAAATTGAGCATTTTATGATATAAATGTGATATATAATAAAATCTCCTATCAGTGGTCCTCGCTGATTCTAGTATATTGAATGCTGATGGGATTGATAGTGTCATTTCAAATGGCATAGCACAATTGTCAGTACACCAGTTCTAATACTCAGTTTGTATTGTATATGCCAATGTGGCCTGCAGGCAATGCCGCTTTTTATCCCAGTGATATTTTGGACTTTTTGTACATATTGAAGGTGTCTGGTCAGCTATAAACTAGTCTGCGGACATATCTGAATATTGTCAGGTGAGTATTTAGGCAGGTTTAATTATGACACAATTCCAGCCATTTTTGTATATGTTCTTTACACAGGTGGGGGCAGATGCAGACACCAAAATAAACACCTTTTGAGTGCAGTACAGGTGCCAGCTCCCTTATGGCATCTGCATCTGCCCCCAGCTGTGTGAAGGCAGCCTATGAAACTGGATGCAGATGCAGCAGCCGTATGGACACAAGCATATTCCTAAAATCTGACAGGTGTATAGTAGCGCGTACATGGCACTGAATGCAGACCGTGTGCATTTGGGGCTCTGCACCTGCATACCTGGCAAAGTTTGACATGCAGCTATGTCTGCACAGTCGCTGCATCTGCATCTACTTTCATAGGCTGCCTACACACACCTGGGGATGGACACAGAGTCCAAAATAAACATTTCTTACAGTACAGGTGCCAGCACCCATCTGAATGAGGTCTTATGCAGCCATAGACGGGTCGAAAATCGGCTGATTGTTTTCGTCCGAAAAAAAAAAATCGGCCGATTTTTCGCACCGTTAGTGGGTTAATTAGTCGGCCATTTTTCAGGGTTTTTGCACATTTTTTTTTATCGGTAAAGTTGGAAAAAATTTCCCGGCCATGATGATGGGCAAATCGGCCAATCGTTTTACCGATACAAAATCTGCGCATAAGCCGTGACCTGCAAGAAGAAGAAAAAGAAGAATTCCAGTCTATTATATTTTATATGAAAAGTCTTGCGGTTGCAACAATGTATCTATTTGTATCTGAATAAAAACATCTGTATCCGAAATGGATATATTGTTGCAACCGCAATACTTTTTCATGTCAAATATAATAGCGGAGCTCTCTGCAAGGGACAGAAGTAATTAAATGCCGGCCGTAGACAGGACGAAAATCGGCCGATATTTTTTTTTTTTTTTTTTTCTTTTTACCGTTGGTGGTAACGTTGGGCAATCGAACGACCAATTTTTCGGTTTTGGACCCGTCTATGGCCTGCATTAGACTCTTTGTTCAATTGATATTTTTTAGATAATCTTTAATAAAGATGACATTTTTTTCCATTAATAATGATGCTTCTTTGTTCCCAAATAATCCTTCTTCTTATACCTTTTGAAACTGCACAAGCTGTTTTTGTAGTGTGATTGTTTTTTAAAATGAACCTCATTTTCAGTAATAAGGTTACAGGAAGGATTTCCCAGAAAGCCCTTTGCTCCTAATATTGTTAACACTGAAACTTGATCAAGTGATTATAGTGAAGGCAGGCTTTACCGTTGCTTTTATTTAGACAGATTTGTGCACTTTCACTAATGTGGTTTATTTTAATAACTACATAACTTAAAGTGTTACTAAACCCAGGACCCTGCAATTGCTCTATCTGGTTTCCTATAGTACACAGCACATGGAAGTGCAATTATTTTAGTAAATATAAACTGCTAAATACCTTTTCTCATCCGCAGTATATAGCAGTCTTGTGACTTCTATCAGTGTCCAGCCCAGCACATGCTAAAGCTTGTAGAAGGGTTTTCATTGTGCTCTAGGAGGATGCAGGACCCCTGACCTCTGTCTGGACAGTGCTGATTGGCCCTGTGCTGATCACATGTACTCTCCCTAGAAGAACAAATCAAAAAAATAACCCTCTCTCTAGCAATAGACACCAAACTGAGTATGTGTATAGTGACTGCACAATATATGTCTCATCACAAGTTAAGAGGGGGGCACTGGAAGAAGGGGAGGATCAGAGAAGTCAGGATCAAACAGCATTATTACACAACGCAGAGCATTAACCCCTTAGGTTCCATAGTGAGTATAACAAGCATGCATTACTGCATATACAGACTGATTTTACTGTTGCATGTTTAGTAACACTTTAAGCAGGTATAGTTTTATAATAATATTGCTTTAAAACCTTCAAGTGTGTAATAATTAACCTAAAGCAGATTGTTTGTTTTGGTTTTTTGGTTTTTTTTTTTTTTTCTTAACGACAATGGAGTTTTTACTGAAAGTTTGGGGGTTCTTTGTGGTATAGTGTGCTGAAGAATTCCCAGCCTTTGATATATGATTACCGAAAACTAAGAAAAGGCTTGGATTTGGTCTGACCCCTGTACAGAAACTGTCAGTGCCAGTTCAGTCGGCTGTGGCCCAGGAATTCCCCCACCAGACAGTTGCATATACACAAACATGGGTGAGAATGCTCCTGACAACATTGTCCCTCTGCCAATCCCTCCACTGGCTTCCGATTGCCCAACAGATCAAAGCTGTCCATCATACTGCCCCAAACTACATCACCGACCTCATATCCAAGTACCGCTCAACACGCACTCTCCGCTCCTCACAAGACCTCCTTCTCTCTAGTTCCCTGGTCTCCTCCTCCCATGCCCGCCTCCAGGACTTCTCCAGGGCATCACCCATCCTCTGGAACTCCCCCAATCCATCAGACTATCACCTACTCTCCTCTCCTTTAGGCGCACCCTGAAAACCCATCTCTTCAGGGAGGCCTACCCCACCCCCTGCTAATTGCCGATCTCCTCCACTCCTCCTACCACTCCATCCCCCACAGCTATTTCCTCCTGTACCACTATCCCCTCCCTCCTAGATTGTGAGCTCCAAGGAGCAGGGCCCTCGAGCCCCTCGTGTGTCTCATTGTATTGTTATTGTACTGTCACATGTATTGTCTCCCATTGTAATGTACAGCGCTGAGCAAACAGTTGGCGCTTTATAAATACTGTATTATAATAATAACAATATGGCCACAGCTGATTGGTCCAGCACTGAAAGCTTCCTTCTGGGTTTGGCCAATTATGGGTTTAGACCGAACCCATGCTCATCCCTAATTCTTAATTATTTTAAAAAAAAAAATATTTTATTGGCATATTTCTCAATTTTGTATTGGTAGGCAATGATATGGGTCCCCTCCCTCCTAGATTGTAAGCTCGAAAGAGCAGGGCCCTTGATCCCCTCATGTTTTGCATTGTATTGGTATTGTTCTGTCACATGTTCTGTCTCCCTTTGTAATGTACAGCGCTGAGCGAACTATTGGCGCTTTATAAATACTGTATAATAATAATAATAATAATATGGACATTGGTAGACTGTACTGTCTGTTAAGCAGCCCATAGATGAGTCCTTTTTTTTTTTTTTTTCCTTTTTTTTTTTTTTTTTCGATCAGTGAGTTGATGGGAAAAAAAAAGGAACTTGATTCCCTCATCCACACTTGAGGTGGATGAGAGAATCCTCCCACTGAGCTATTGTATTATGACAGCGGGGAGACTTCCTCACTGTCAGAATACACTGGTCAGTATTGCAGTGTTTATCCTGCAGCTCTGATCGAGCAGGTAAAATTCGGCAGGGTGATTGTACAGTAGTCAATCAGTAAATGCCCATACATGGGTCCCTACTGAACCGCCTGCAATTCGATCCATGTATCGCCAGCTTAAAGTGGTTACTTGTACCCAGTGATATGACTGTCCTCAGGTAATAAACAGAGGTGAAACCAGTCGTCCTACATAAGTTGTACCTGTTTATTTGCAGCCGTTTTGTCCTGTACGTAGTTGTAAAACTCAGAGTAAAATGATTTTTCATAGACTCGCAAACCAGGGGGCTGAGAGTTGCAGTTACACACAGTACAAGAACTCTGAGAGCTGATTCGAGGGAAGGGACTTACCCCCTTGACATGGCACACAGGAATAGGACTGAGGCCGTCAATAAGCTGGAGATCCCTCCCCCGTCACCTTTTTTTGCTTGGTGTCAGGAAAACCTGTCAGAAGAGACTCATGCTGATAACAGGAGAACTAGACAACAGAGAAATTACACTTATTGCTTTGGACAAAAGCAAGTATAAACTATAGAAATATGTGCTTTGTTCAGATTTC